GCCTGAACATTTTGGAACATAATATTCAGGATTTTCCCAGTAAATTTGGTTTTTATCGGAAGAAACTTGGCAACGTCTGAAGGCTCTTACGACGTTTTTCCATAACACGGCAGTATGGAGCAGTTCTACACGATTTTTGACGGTTAAAAAACCTCATCAGCTTAGCTGTTGCACGCTGCTACTGCTTTGAACAACACGAGATGGGCTTGATTACGAAAAAATTGGCCTATTCATTATGTATTTCGTCTTCTCTACCCCTTCCCCCAAATCCCAACTTTAAGGGCCCATGAAAGGGGCATAGCGATCGCCTTCTCTTATTACGTCACCAATGCACCGAGTTCCGTCAAATGCGCGACACAAAATGTATAACACAAATTTGGCAAAAAATAAAGATTTCCTATTACTGAAAAGTCAAGGGAAAAGGCGGTAAAAATTTCAATTTGCTGTGTTGATTCAATAATGTATATTTGAGGGGCACGTATTTGGCAGATTTTTTGGAGGCATCTTGCCTCCTGCATAATTGCTACCGTGTAGGTACTCTTCCAACAACCTCCGATACACTGAAAACACGCAGCTATTCTCCAAGGATGCAGCGCATTTTTCCATTCGAATTTCTGTGAAACGCCGAGAGAAAACTTCCAAATTTTTCCGACGGGATGGACACGAATAAACTACTATCAGCATTTCCCCATAATGGCTAGAATCAAGTGGGATGCCCATTATTTCAAAATATGCTATCTACATTAAAATAAAAAAAAAATTATAAAACTCCTGTGGAACCTTTTTCAGTCATTTTCTCGTTTGTTAGAAAATACACTGGAAACACTGTTAAGAGTCACACAACAAAAAAACTACTTCAGGCGAGATCGGCACTTATCAAACAGTAGAATTTGTTAAGAGTTAGTTGGTACAGAAACGTGTAATTTACCTACCTCTCAAAAACACAAAAATACTTCTAAGCGTGATTTTCGTGTAATTTTCGACGAACGTATTTTTATTAGGGACTCCAGGGTTCCTCGCTCAGATTTTCATACTCACTTTTCTGGATGTGTACGTCGTCTCTTGTTGGTGCCTCGCAGGGTCCCTTTGTCCGTGGCGTTAAAACTAATTCAAAACACAGATATCACCGAGTGAGGAACGGGAACGACTGAAGCAAAACATTTAATGGTTCCTAAGCCCGAATTGTTTGTTGAGCCCTTATTAAAAAAAAAAAAAAAAAATCGCGCGAATTCGATAACAGTGAGAAAATGAAGCATCTCATGAGAAGACAGACGTGTAAAAATTGGACGTCTCTTAACTCAAAATATACACTTGAGTGTCGAATTCTTGCCTCCCCTGATTTTTTTCTTACAGTCCCAAGATGGCAAAAATCTTGGATCGTTTTAAGATAAGCAGTGTCTACAGATTCAGGATTGGGGCGCCTTCAATTCGAGTGATACTTCCAGCACATACGCGAAGTTAGTTTAGTTGCGTGACCTAACTTAACCCAACCTGACTCTGTTGCAGTCGGCTCCCCTACTCTTCTTTCGCCTGTCATCAGCAAACGGAGAAGGCCTTGATATTTTTCTTTGTTGGGATTTCAGTTCTATCTATATATTATTTAAAGACGAGGCAATTTCTTGTGCTAGTGAGATTTGGAGAATACTCGGCCGATTCTCCCGAATTTTTTTCGAGCGTAGCGTTGCGTTTGAGGACGGGCTGATAACTAACCGTAAGTACCGAGTTGACTCTTTCGCGAAAAAAAATACAAATATGTTGTGATGCACGCTCGAATTTTTCCAGAAGTGACCATGAAATGACTTAGGCCGTATTACAGCAGATCGTTCATTATATGTAAGATTCTTCAACATTTTTTAAAAATTTAAAACTTTATGAACGGTGAATGGCATTTTTATGGAGTGTTAGGTATAAGGTATTATTGTATCCAACTAAAACATCAATTCTGGAAATTTTCTTCAGCGGTAGGGGAGGGGGGTGTTATTAACCGCATTGTAGAACGGCAACGTCTACATTGAGCATGTTTCGTAGAGCAACTATTCATGCTTCAGAGGTGTCTTCGTTGTATAGATAAAAACTTGAAGGCACTCCATCGTTTTAGATCCTCGCAGGTGCCGCCCCGAGGGTGAAACGGTGAGTGCCGGGAGAGTCAAAACGCCTTCAATTCAGTGCGTATGCGACACGGACGTCCATGGAGCCCGAATAGTTGCATTCGACACTGGCTGAGGGCGCTCTGCTTGTGCTAGTTCACATTTTTGCTCTTGTCAACTACAGTCTGATTTCCTTTAAACGTTTTATGCAAAATGTTAATCATAGTTACGAGCTTCGTACTTAGACTATCTAACATTCAAAGAAAAATATAAATATTTGATTTTAAATTCTTCTTTCGTTTCGTAAGCAAATATCATAATATTTGCTTAGGAACTAACTATAAATGCATTCATAGTTAGGTATGCACTGTTAGATTGGACAGTCATCATGACCATTATTTTGTTGATCTAATCAAAATAAGAGATGACTCCCCCTTATCCTGTTGTTCGGAGGGGGGGGGGGTTATAAACCATTTTACCCTCGCACTATAGGCTTAAACGAACTTGCTACTTCACTGCTGAAGAAAATTTCTGGAATTCATGTTATAGTTGGATATAATAATAGCTAACACTCCATAAAAATGCCAGTTACCTTTCATAAAGTTTAAATTTTTAAAAAAATGTTGAAGAATCTAAATACAAATAATGAACGACCTGCTATAATTTTAAGTTGATACACTCCTCCAGCTATATTCTAGCTTGACTTGAAAAAGTGTCTTTTTGTAAAAATAACTTGGATAGAGCTAACAATAAGTACCTAATAGGGAACCAACGCACACGGTTTGACAAATTTGGTCGATAATTATGTTTTGAATTAAGTTATATAAATTTAAAATACCTTTTATCCAAAGATAATGAGAGAAAATTTGGACTTTATTAAAGAATATTGGCTGCAAACTAAAGTAAAGCTACTTCAACAAACCAAAAACTCAGCTAAAAATAGTTTGATAAAGTGGCGTGGTTGAAAGAATTTAGTCATTATAGCACATAATGAGGCTGTATAACAAGAGAAATATTCACCAACTGCAACTGGTGAGTACATTTTTTAATTGATTTGGACTGGCGAGGGGGGGGGGATTTTCCATAAGGATGGTGCAGGATTTTTTGCTCATCTTTTCAGTCTTTATTAGCTAAAGTCTCACATCTCCGAGAACTTAGATAAAAATTATTTTTAGCATATCTATGCTCATGAGTTTGTTAAAAAATCCCATTGCTTGAATAGAGGTGAAAAAACTGGAATTTAGGCAGGTACGACTTACTCCGTACAGATTATGACATTGCTCATCTCACATATTCCGGTAATTAACTCATTGATGAATACCTGTCACTCTCTCTTTTTACCCTTCCTATCATCTATCAACAGGGCCGGATTTACCTATGGTGCATCGGTGCAGCTGCACAGGGCGCCAGAATTTGAGGGGCGCCAAATTTTGGGGTTTTTTTTTCCAAACTCTGCAAAATTACATCAGGGAACCATTAATTTATTGCGTTCCATCTTTTAAATGACCTGACCCTAGACTTTAAGGGTCTTACTTTCGTAGTTAACAGTAACAGGAACAGGTACCTGGTTTTGGTTTCTGCCCCAGAATCATTCACTCACTTGAAAAATTCGTATTAGGTTAGAGTTAGCACGTAGTGACCGAAGAAGACCGTCGGGTTGGGAAATGCGCGGGCGGGCGGGGGGGGGGGGGCGAGGGGGGCGCCTCGAAAATTTCTGCGCAGGGCGCCAAAAACATAAATCCGGCCCTGTCTATCAAGCTTTCCTCTTTTTAATGCTTAAGCCTCCTCAATAATGAGGCATTGGACTTGAAGGAGAAGACTAAAATCAGGTAGTAACTCTGAGCCCTCGTTACGCCATGATCTCTTTTCTCTGGTCTACAATTCCAGTTATCAATCTGCACAAGGATTCTTTATTGGGAAAAAATGGTCACTGTTTCCTTTCTTGGCATTCTGAATTTAATGTGCCCACATCAGCTTGGATAAAACCTACCGTAGTCCCAATGGACCACTAGACAAGGTACGAATTTCAGCATTCTGATACATGTTTTTTAACCAAAATTTCACGTAGAACACGATACGCACAACGAAAATTACCAAAATCAACTCCTTACGAAGATATTTAATGATTCTTGATGCGTGAATTCAAACCACCCGCTCATGAAAACTCAATGCTCTCCGCGATTCACATCGGGCGCTAAATGTTTATCATGACAGTCTCTGCGATATAAAAATCTGGCAACCTCAATCTTGACGCTTTGGCTCAGCTATAGCAAATTGCTTATAGTTTCAACACATGGTGGGAGATGGACATTGCTCGATAGAGAAGCTTGCTGAAACCTTTGTAGTGCGCGATTTGACTCACGTAGAGCTTTGAGTTTCTTGTGAGCGGGCAGTTCAAATTTCTCGTAACCAATGTGAAATAAAAACGAGTTTATCTTCGTTAGGAGTTGGTTTTAGTAATTTTCGTTGCGCGAGTCGTATTCTACGTGAAATTCTGGTTAAGAAACATGTGTCAGAATCCTTTAACTCGTACCTTGTCTAGTGGTCCATTATACTCCACAGATTAGACATGATTCCAGCTAATCAGAGATTTTCATGTAAACTTAGATAACTGGATACTTTCATAGATCCCATGTTGATGAAACAGGATCTATCAATCACCTTCATTGGGGCTCTTAGAGTTGGACTGTGAAATTAAATTAATGTGTAGATGATAAGAGATGCGTTTTCTGTATAATCACCTGGATAAAAGTTATGTTCTCATCATTCTGACCAAGACCACATACTCAGATGGTGTTTTTAGAAGGAACGCACCATATTCGAGCAAGCTTCCACTCTTTTGACTAGTACCAACGCTTGTACTTCTGAACAGTTCTACAAATTTAATGGGAAGAACATTAAGTGTAAGCTTACCTTTAGTGAGCGGCAGATGAATCAGGGAAAAAGATAGATTGCTGTGATACTTTGCTTACTCTTACTTGATTGTTGTAACTTCGTAGAACACTGCTTTTTATTAGCAAAACCATTGAGATACATATTCGCGATAAATTTAAGGATTTCTTTTAAACGCAGGACAAACCACTTTGATGGTGCAGATTAAAAATCACGAAATATATTTCTCGGCGAGTCACTCACGACTTCTTCTGATACTACTACAATTAGATTCGGGAATCTGCCTTTTTACGTGACATCTGTGAATGCGCATACATGAAAACAGGAGGTGTTCAGAGCTGACCACAGTAGGAGGTTCAGGATTAGAACCGTCATTCGATAAGCTGAGGGGTATGAATGAATAACAAAAGTAGTTCGCAGCATGTTAAAATATGAGTTGCCTCCTCAATATCAAAAAGGAACCACAGACATCCTGAAGGAGTTGTCACAAATTTTGGAAAACCTTATTGGCTTGACCACGAATAACTACGAAATTTTCTTTATGCAGACCGAGGTAAAGGTCCAAGAAAGAACTTCCTAAGATGAGAGTGTGATCATCACAGGAGCTTCATGACACATTTTATCGACCAAAAACTGCAAAACTATGCACCCGAGATTAATCTAAACTCTTTGCTTACGCGCTTGTAATGGCACCGTCTCTCAATCAAACAAAAGACGAAACAATTTGCAAAGAAGCAACATTTTCCATTATCACTTATCACTTCACGGGGGTCCGACAAAATTAAACCAAAACATGACGATAGGTTAGGTCACCGGAAATCATCGTTCAGCAGCGCGGCAAACCGTTCAGACCAATATAATGGCGGGTCTTTCGAATTCGCACATTCGACACAGCCATAGACAATGCGTAAACCTAAATATATTGGCAGTAATCGTTAACTTGAGATTCGCAGTCCATTTTGCCGCACAGGTAATAAACGTACTCGGGGGCGCGATTAGTTATCTGATCGAAAAATACTCAAATCGACCGTGAAACTCCCCAAAAACATATCTCGCTTTCGGTGTTTGAAAATCTCCGCTCTAACTTCATTTTTTTGAAAGAGAACAAATCAACATCACAACAAAATATAGCTCGAGGAGTGTATCAACCTAAAATTATAGCAGGTCGTTCATTATATGTACTAAGATTCTTCAACATTTTTTTAAAAATTTATACTTTATGAAAGGTAACTGGCATTTTTATGGAGTGCTAGGTATTATTATATCCAAGTATAACATGAATTCTAGAAATTTTCTTCAGCAGTGAAGTAGCAGTGCGTTTAAACCTATAGTGCGAGGGTAAAATGGTTTAACCCCCCCCCCCCTTCCCTCCGAATAACATGATACGGGGGAGTCATCTCTTATTTTGATTAGATCAACAAAATAATGGGCATGATGACTGTCCAATCTAACAGTGCATACCTAACTATGAATGCATTTGTAGTTAGTTCCTAAGCAAATATTATGATATTTGCTTACGAACGAAAGAAGAATTTAAAATCAAATATTTATATTTTTCCGTGGAATATGTACCGAAGTGAAGGGTTGCAGAAATGCAGATGACAGGCGAAAGAAGAGTAGGGGAGCGGGGAGCCGACTGCAACAGAACCAGGTTGGGTTAAGTTAGGTCACGCAACTAAACTAACTTCGCGGATGTGCTGGAAGTATCACTCGAATTGAAGGCGCCCCAATCCTGAATCTGTTGACACTACTTATCTTAAAACGATCCAAGATTTTTGCCATCTTGGGACTGTTTTTGGTATGTAGACTGCGATATGAGCGTTAATGTTCCATGTTGGAGTAAAGCCACTTATTATTGTTAGCAGGAATTGCATTTTAATATTTTTTCAGGGATTCTCATTTCGCAGAGGAAATATCCCGCCAGAGTTGTTTCAGTAGTTAGACAGTTACTTTTATGTTTTGACACAGAGGTACCAAATCTTAAGTTATACATCATGTGAAATGTTGAACTAATCTTAATTTGCAATCGCCTACTTTAGCAGGGATAGGTAGGATAGGTATAATTATCTCTTTGTGAGGGTAAAGGGGGGCGGCATGCATATCTGTAAAATTTTCGTAGCGTTCTTTGAAAGAATATAAACTTGCTTTCAGTCAGGGCCGGATTAAGGGGGTGGATACATGGCGGCAAAATGTCGGAGGCGGCAAATTTTGCACTCTTTTTGAATGTAGGTATCAAAAAAAGAAGAAAAATCGGATTCAGAAAATAAATTAAAAACGAGAAGAGGCGACAAAATCTCTTATTTCCTGAGAGTAAAAGTATAGTCATTTTTAATTTCTTCGTCTTTTGGTGATACAAGAGACAGCATCTTTAATTAGTTTAGTTAAGAGAAAAACCAAACACGCAATTTGACCGTGAGCGGAGCGGCTTAAGAGCAATGATGACGAGGACTGATATGAAAAGGAGAAGCCCTCAGCCCTGAGCGTGGCGGTCGGCATGAAACGCATAGCGCCTACAAGACTGAATGAATACTTCACGCATTGCGTCAAACAGTGCGGTCAGCAGCTGTCGGCGCGGCGTGAAACGCATAGCGCCTACAAGACTACATGAATACTTCACGCATTGCGCCAAACATAATGCGGTCGGCGCAGCGGAAGTTAAAAATTTCAAACCACATTTGGGTTTGTTCTTTCATATAATTTTTGCGTCCGTTTGTTATAAATGGAAGGCCTTGTCCAAACAGGGATGGGTTTACGGAACTTAATTTTCGCGTAAAGTCCCGTGAACTTTTGTTAGTTTTGACAAGGCTTTCACAAAAAATGTGCCCAACACGAGTAAACGCGTCTCATACACCCCTCCCGCATTAGCACGTTCACTTGACGAATGAGAAGGGGGCGGAAAAATACAGGCGGCCCATGGGTGGCAACAGGGGCGGACTGGTAGTCGAAAAGTTAGGAGGAGACCTAAATGTAAGGGCCCCTCCTATCGTTAAGGGGCCCCTCCTGTCGTTCAGGGGCCCCTCCTGTCGTTCAGGGGCCCCTCTAACAAGGTCCGGGAACCCTCCCCCGGTAAATTTTGAAAATTTCGCACTTTTGAAACACGTAGGCATTATCGGAGTTGGATTCTGCAGTACTTGAACTTCCAAATAACCCATTCTCAGGATTCATCGGGGGTCCTTCATCACAAATGCTTTTGGCGACCTTCCATGTATCTTAGAGACAAATTTTCAAGGAATTCGGGGCCTTTTAGTGATTGAAAAGGATGAGAAAATTACAACATTACGGGAAAAAAACGCCAAATTGTTAGGGGGCGATCGCCTCCCTGCCCCCATGGCCAGTCCGCCCCTGGCGGTTAAAACTGGTCAAAACTGGTCAAAACTGGTCAAAACAGTCAAAACTGAAGTAGCGGCACAGGAAAGCCAAAAAACCAAGCGGGGGCGCTGCTTCAATATTAAACTTCTATCGCCTTGCTAAGGCGCACGGATACAACTATTTGAACTCTCCGGAACGCGTGAGGTATGAAGCTTCATTTGAAGGCGTTTTCGAATCTTCTGTACTTACATGACGAGATTTTCTAAATTGTTTTGCATTATATTGTAGGTTTAAGTACCTTTTATTATTTAGTTAAATTTCTCCTGCTTCTTAATTTTTAATTATTCTAGTAAAATTTTCTTTTTGCGAAATACAATCCTGGCTCTAGCGCCCTTAAACTCCGGCCTTAACGGTCGAAACTGCAGTAGCGGCACAGGAAAGCCGAAAAACAACCCGGGGACGCTACTTCGATATTAAGCTTCCATCGCCTTGCTAAGGCGCAGGGATACAACTACATGAACTCTCCGGAACGCGTGAGGTATGAAGCTTCATTTGAAGGCGTTTTCGAATCTTCTGTATTTACATGACGAGATTTTCTAAATTGTTTTGCATTATATTGTAGGTTTAAGTACCTTTTATTATTTAGTTAAATTTCTCCTGCTTCTTAATTTTTAATTATTCTGCAAAAATTATGTGTTTGCGAAATACAATCCTGGCTCTAGCGCCCTTAAACTCCGGTCTTAACGGTGGAAACTGCAATAGCGGCACAGGAAAGCTGAATAACCAAACGGGGACGCTACTTCGATATTAAGCTTCCATCGCCTTGCAAGGGCGCAGGGATACAACTATTTGAACTCCCCGGAACGCGTGAGGTATCACGCTTCAATTGAAGGCGTTTGCGAATCTTCTGTATTTACATGACAAGATGTTCCAAATTGTTTTGCATTATACTGTAGATTTGAGTTCCGTTTATTATTTAGTTTAATTACTCCTGCTTCTTAATTTTTAATTATTCTGCAAAAATTATGTGCTTGCGAAATACAATCCTGGCTCTAGCGCCCTTAAACTACGGCTTAACGGTCAAAACTGCAGTAGCGGCACACAGGGGCGGATTGGTAGTCGAAAAGTTAGGAGGAGACCTAAATGTAAGGGCCCCTCCCGTCGTTCGGGGGCCCCTCTAAGAAGGTCCGGGGGCCCTCCCCCGGTATATTTTGAAAATTTCACACTTTTAAAACACGTAGGCATTATTGGAGTTTGATTCTACAGTACTTGAACTTCAAAATAACCCATTCTCAGGATTCATCGGGGTCCCTTCATCACAAATGTTTTTGGCGACCTTCCATGTCTCTTAGAGACAAATTTTCAAGGAATTCGGAGCCTTTTAGTGATTGAAAAGGATAAGAAAATTACAACATTACGGGAAAAAAACGATGACTTGAAAAAAATTTGCCGCGGGGGCCCTTTCGGCACCTCCGCGGCAAATTATTAGGGGGCGATCGCCTCCCCGCCCCCATGGCCAGTCCGCCCCTGAGTGGCAAGTAGGTAAATCCTGCTTTCAATAGCTCACTAGTGGAGCTATGTGAGGAAATAAATACATATTTAGGTAGGCTGTCGCTGTACGCGTAAACACAAAACACTAGTTGTTAATTTTTTAAATGGAAAATATATATTTTTTTATTTTTTATTTTTATTTGTTATAAAAAATAGTAAATCTAGAACTAAGAAATAAATACAGTAGGTAATCACAATAATTATCACAGATAGGTAAATTGCCACAATAAGTGAAAGTTGAATAAAAAGTACGTAACTTCCGAATTATCATAGTGTAGGAGATTTAAAAACAACTTTGGTCAATTATTAACAATATTTTTGTTCAAGGAGTCAAGGCGTCCCCTTTATTTTCTTTTATAATGCGATGCATCTACCTATCAGTCTCTCAGGGCAAAAAGGTTGGAACAGCATTTTCATGTTTCGAGACGCATGTCCCAAAAAAAAAAAAAAAACTGCCAGACTTTTTCCATCTNAAAAAAAAAAAAAAAAAAAAAAAAAAACTGCCAGACTTTTTCCATCTCTGAATCTTTTACTGCTTTTAAGTTAACGCTGAACAGATTCTGAATGAGGCTTGTCCTTCGAGCACTCCTGAAACATACAAGGATGAAAAAAAATTAAGATAAAAAGTTAAGAGGAAAATAAAAATTAAGATCCTTTGATACCTATAGTGTTTTTCCATTATTTCAGTGGCACATAACGATGGAGGCACGTGAGCAGGTGACAATACTGTAAGTGTAATAAAAGCATGCAATCGTGCAATGGGGATGAAATTCGTCATACGGACCAAACAAGCGCATACTTAATATCACCTACCTCAAATATTACCTTTGCTGAAAAGAGCAAATGAAATACGTCGAGCAGTACATGTACAAACCAATTGGAATCAGGTTAGGTATCTGAAAATAAAACAT